GCAGACTAAATGGCACCTTAAACCCCAAAGTCCGTGAAGGAAGACGGTTAATCAAATGCACGACTGTACGAATTGCATCTCTCCAGAACTGTACAAGAACTAAGGCAGACACCATAAGACTCCTTGCCACTTGCCACCTCCACAATGTGTATGCTTTTTCTCTCAGCAACTCCATTATGTTGTGGTGTGTATGCACAATTGCTCTGATGAATTACCCCATGTTCTAGGAAATACGTGGTCAGGTCCTTCTCAAAGCACTCTTTGGCATTATCTCATCTAAAAACCTTAGTTCTCACTCCAAATTGTGTGAGAACCATCTAGTGGAACTGTTGTACCAAGTTAGGAACCTCATCATGTGATCTTATCAAATATATCCAAGAATACCGTGTATAATCATCCACATACAAGAGAAAGTACCGGAATCCTCCCATGGAAGGGATATGATATGTTTCCCATACATCAGTGTGAACAATATTAAAAGCAAAAGTACTTCTTTTATTACTTGGTTTAAAAGACTGTCTACAATGCTTTCCTAACTGACAACTCTCACACTCCAAAGTAGATAAYTGARYAGACTMAAACAACTTTGGGAAAAGACATTTCAAAGAATTAAAAGAAAGGTGTCCCAAGCGATTGTGCCAGAGCATAATCTGGTTCACTGACTCTGACCCACTACTACTGCTGCTGCTAACATGATGGCCCTGATGTCTTGGAATCTCATCCAGAAGGTAGACTCCATTCACCTCACAAACCACTCCCAATCATCTTCTTTGACTCCAGATCCTGTAAAACACAATTACCTGGAAGAAAGGTCACAGAACAATTCAAATTCTTTGTCAAAGAACTAACAGACAGTAGGTTGGTATGAAGTCTAGGGATATGTAAAACAGAAGATAGAGTTATATCATTGGTCACTCTAACTGTCCCTTTCCCGGTAATGGGATTATTTGAACCATCTGCTGTAGAGACTCTGTCTCTACCAGAACACAACTGATAGGAACTGAAAAGGGTAGGGACATTTAGTCATGTGCTCAGATGCTCCTGAGTCTATAATCCAGGGAGGTCCCTCCTTTCCTGAAGTGGATGCAAGATTTACAGTTGCATATGAACTACATGTATGTGCAAAGGAAGAGGTGTAGCTGGCTCCTGCATTTTGCTGTCCATTTAGAAAGCTAGTGCTAGGTGAATCTTTCTTACTCATAAGTTGTCCAAACCTCTCCAATTCTATCATCACTGTTGCTACTGCAATGAATTCCCAATCCGTTTGGGAAAGAGGGACCGAAGAGTCTCCCGTAGTGGCTACATTTGCATTTCCCTTCTTGTTCCTTATCCGGACTGGCATAAGATTTGGATTAAGCTTCCAGCAAGTGTCCCTGGTATGCTTAGGCTTCTTGCAATAAYCACACACCAAGTCCWTYTTATCTTCCCTTCTAGTCTCACTACTCCCCCTGTCTCCATTCGGCTTAGGTTTTGTTGTACCAACCATATCCGATTGGTCAATCCCAGGCTGTCTCAGCATTTCATTCCTCCTACTCTCCTCTCTAGAGACAAAGGCATAGGTTTGAGAGAGTGTCACACCCTCCCTAGAAAGAATATGCTACCTAGCAATGTCGAATTCAGGGTTTAGCCCTACCAAGAACTCAAAAACCCTATTCCTCTCTACTAGTCTATGATAGGTTGTTGCATCATTTACACTTTCCCATACCACAGTTTCTAAGTGATCTATTTCCTATCACAGGGTTTTCAGCATGGAGAAATACACAGCAAGAGGTTTTTCTCCCTGTTTCATACTTATCACCTGATTCCTTAACTGATAGGCTCTGGCTTCTTTTTGTTTCTGAGTAGGTTTCAGTCACTCCATCCCAAATCTCCTTAGCAGTATTAGCCCATAGGAACTTTTTTGCAATATGAGGTAACATAGAATTACACAGCCAAGACATTACCATGCAATTCTCCTGCACCCATCGGGAAGAGTCTGTATCAGGTTTCTTCTCCTCTCCAGTGAGATACCCTAATTTTCCATGGGCACCAATAGCCATCTTAGCTGATTGTGCCCACTCCAAATAATTTGTACCATCAAGTTTTACTGTAGTAATGATCCCTGACCAAAAAATATCACTACTACCTCCAACACCTAGTCCCACAGTACCGGTAGATTTCATCTCGGTATTCCAACTTTCCATCTTACTTCAAACAGTTCAACAGTAAGAAAAAAATGGATTGGAAACCTTCCAAGAACAATTTAATATCACACACATAGAAACAAACCCTTATGGAAGAAGAAAACCCTRGTTGGAGAGAAATCTCTCTCCTCCCCACGCCTCCCAATAGAGGGAAGAGTGAATCGATCACTCCAGGAGGCTCAGAAAAATCCAGAAACCAAACCGCACTCTTCAGGAAATCAAAAGAAAGCTAACAATACCTGGCCGCCCAAGATCAGATCAAAAACAAAGAGTCCAACTTTTCTAGGACTCTTCCCCGTACTCCAGTTCTTCCTAATTTTGATGCCGAATAGTAGATCACCTTCCTGATGACTAGATCCCACCAAAAAATCCAAGAACTGGGCAATCTACAGCAGATCGATCAGCCCTTTATTACTTCATACAA